TCTGCAAAAACAACCAGTATTTTTAACCCCTAAGCCATCCCTCCAGCCCCCATGATGCTTTTTTTTTTTTTTTTTTTGTCTTTTTGAGACAAGGTCTCTCTGTAGCTCTAGCTGGCCTGGAACTCACTATGCAGACCAGGCTTGCTTTGAACTCATAGAGATCCGCCTGCCTCTGCCTCTTGGGTGCTGGGATTAAAGGCATGCGCCACCATGCCTGGCTTAAAATAAATCTTCAAGATCACCTTATAAAACATTCTCACAGGGACTAAGGCACTCAGTGAAACCCTTATAAATCTCTTATGAGTGTCTCATAATCACCTAATTACCTCCCATGAGCCTATTCTCCTGAAGGTTCTACTTTATCTTAATAATGCCATGTTGGGAACCAAGCTTCTAACATATGAACCTGTTGGTGACAGACAACATCCAAACTATAGCATGTTATTTGCCATAGCCTCAAACTAGGAACAATGGAAATATCCACTTAATGGGATTTAGAATAAACTATTGCCATACCTGACAACATGTATTAATCTTACAAACATAATGTTGATCTTCTAACTAATATGGATAGATTTTTAAGACAAATATTTGTGAGATTTAGAGGAGCAATACTAATAAAAGGAACCATCCACCAAGAATTTTTAATGATTTATGCAGCAAATATTTATGAATGTATGTTATGCACATTTGCCTATACTCACTGCCTTAGAAGTCATAACATTAATTTTGTTCTGTTTGTGGGATACAGCAGTAAAAGTTTCACTCATGAAACTTACATTATAGAATAAGAAGTTTGGACACCATAAAAAAGATACATATACCCACATTTGTTCCAGTTTGCTCTTTTGTTGCTGTGATGAAACACTCTGACCAAAAGCAACTTGGGAAGGAAAGAGTTTATTTCAATTTGTATTTCCAGGTCATCCAACATTGAGGGAAATCAATGTAGGAACTCAAAGTAGGAACCTAGAGGCAGGAACTATGGAGGAACACTGCTTAACCTGGGTCCCTCACTGGCTCATGATCAGCTAGCTTTCATATACAGCCCAGGCCCATCTGTCTAGGGATGGTGCCTCCCACAGTAGACTGAGCCCTCCCACATCAGTACCCCACAGACATGCCCATAGGCCAATCTGATTGAGGAAGTTCATCAATTGAGGTTCCCTCTTCCCAGCTAACTCTGGGTTGTGTGAAGCTGACAATAAATCTAACCAGCATATGTGTGTGTGTGTTGTGTACATATATGTGTGTATATATAATCACAAAGAATGTATGTATGTATATGTAATCACAAAGAAAACAAGAAGTAGAATATACAGAAGAGGCTGTTCTGTATTTGCAGATGGTGATCAGAAAGGCCCTTCTGATGCAAGAGCATTTGAGAGACTTGAATGAAGCACGGGAGATCTGAATGAAGTAAGGGATACATTCAGGAAAAACACTCAAATCTAGGGATAGCAAGAATAAAAGCCCTGAGATAGAGGCACCTTGAGCGTGTTCCAGGAACAGAAAGCAGAAAATTGGGAGCAGACTAAGTGAAAGGATGCAGAGGGAGGATTCTGAATTTGAATGAGAAGGGCATTCATTAGGTGCCTTCAAAAGAGGAGTGAAGAGTTTTATCAGGATTTGTTTATTCTGTGCAAAATAGAGTTTAGATAAGATAGTATTAACAGAGAGACCAGTTGAAGCAATTTTAACAGTCCTGCAATGGCATTCTGCCAGATGGTAGCAGTGAAAATTGTTAAAAATGATAGATTCTGAGTCTGTCTTGATGGCACATCTATTACTTGGATGGGCCTGTGAGAAAAGAGAAGAGTAGGGATTGACTCTAGGCTTCTGGTTTACTCAGTTGGTGAGACTGTCCTCTCCTGAGATGAAGACTGTCAGAGGAGTTAGGTTTCAGATGTCTGTTTGACACTAGATAGAACTGTCAAGCAGGCATTTGGGGTCACACTTTTGGGGTTCAGGGAAGAAGCATTTATTAGAGATGCAAATTTTGGACTTCTTATCATATAGATAAAATTAATGACATGACCTCTAAGGCAGTGAGTATAGTCAGTAAAAAAAAATTCAGAGGCTGACTTGTGGATGCTCCAATAGTACAAAGTTGAGAAGCTGAATAAGAGACTCAGCAAAGGGTCCATGGAAAAAGTAGAAGAATCAAGAAAACAGAGGCCCAGAAATTGGTCCAGCTTTTGTTTTATTTTCTCTGAACTCCAGGGCCACCCTTTGCCCTGCTTTTTGATACTGTAAGTCCGAGATTGGTCTCCGGTTGGTTATTGCCAGCCGGCTCAGCATTAGCTTCTGCCATTAGAGGGTGCTGGAGACTGGAAGAATCCGAGGAAAGGACTTTTCTTCTCCTAGGTTTTTTCTTAACCCTTCTGTTGGCTGTGCAGGGATCCTAGTAGTGCTAGTTAGCCACAGCATGTATGTGTGTGCGTGCGTGCGTGCATGCGTACGTGTGTGTGTGTTTGTGTGTGTGTATATGCCTGGACTTTTTTGATTTTATTGATTTTTTTGTGAATTTCATACATCTTGCTCATATTTAGACACCCTCCCCTATCTGCACCCCCATAGTCTCCAAATATACATCAGCAGGGCTTGATCTCACAGAGAGCTACCTGCCTCTGCCTCCCAAGTGCTGGGATTAAAGGCATGTGCCACCACACCTACCCAGCTGCCACAGTGTATTTCTATGGCAATCTTGCCCTCTTCTCAGAGGGCTGTCCTTAAGGTAGGGGAATAGATACTTGTAATCTGAAGGAAGTAGGCTCCCTTAAACTAAATTACAAAGTCTCTAAAGGTATAAATGATCTTTTACACTTTAGGCTATGCCTTAAGAATACTTTATATATGCATATTTTAGGGGGGGTGAGAGAGTATAAAAGGGGATAAAAATGGAAAAGAGAAATAACAAATACTGAGTATTTACTGTATATGAAACATCTCATTGAAACTTTATTTCAGTGTGTGCCACAACCAAGGAAGACATTCCATTTTTATGAAGAAACCAGACAAGATATATAGCTAGTTGGGCTGTTGAATGTTGCTCAGTCCATAGAGTGTGTTTGCCTAGTATGCAGGAAGCGCTGGGTTTGATCCCTAACACCACATAAGCTGGCCATGGTGGTACATGCCTCTTATCTTAGCACTTAAATGGTGGAGATAAGAGGATCAGGAGTTGAAGGTCATCCTTGGCTAATAGCAAGTTCAAGGCCAGTCTGGGCTACATGAGATCCTGCCTCAAAAGGAAAAAAAAAAAAAACAAAACCCCACGCTAATGGATATTGAAGTTGGGAGTTAAAGTTGAGTTTGCTTCCAAAGTCCTGTCTCCCCACTATGTCAGATAAGTTTATATTGAATTTGAAGTTCAGAATGAAACAATTTTAAATTTCAAATCACTCTCTCAGGTTAAAACAATTCAATTAACAAAATTCTTATATTAATTTGGTATGTCATCAGTGAAGAATAGCTTTCTTTTCTAATTATGTTGAGTTTAGTTTTGTTGGCTATAAAAACATACTGCATTCATAATTTTAATTAATACTTTACACGAATTTTTCTGTTTCTTTTTCTCCCAGATATTGAAATACTTCATGAGACATTTGTTGACATTGAATCAAAGGATCATAGGTTACAGAATGTTAAAGTAATTCTGCTGCTTCCCCGTTGTTCCGGACTAGGTGTTAGTAACCCAGTGGAATTTATTTTAAATGAGCATGAAGGTACTTCTTTTAATTTATAAATTAATGAAATTAGTTGACTGTAACCCTGTCAGTTTCAATTTTGGAGAATAAATCTTATTTTCTCTTTTTCTGTATTACTGCCCAAATTGATCAGATTCTTCTGTGCCTGAATGACCTATGTGACTACTTGGATGACTAGCTTATAGAAACTTGGAGAAAATTAAATGTTTTTTATATTCTTTTTGAAAAGCAGTAATAAACATAAACATAATTATCTTTATTAATTTTTCAATCAATATTTTAATAATATTGATTTTATTTTAATAAGAATTTTCCAAGAAAATTTGTATTAGTCAACAGTTGATTGAAAAATAATGTGACAATAGCAATATATGAAAAGTACCTGTAGTACCATATTTTGAAAATATATATTTACTTTTTAAAATTTAGATACAGGCTTACTTAAAGATCTTTCTCAAGGAGGTCCATCAGAAAGCAAACTTCAGATTCTTGCTCAACAGCAATGTGAACAGCTAACACATGCAATGAAATGTAAGTTTGTCATTAAATACAGTGTTAGTATTAGAAAGATGAAACCTCATTTATGTATTAGAGTAAAGAAATAATGTGTGACCCATAAGCAAAATTTCTAGAATATTCCATCTTAGTGCCTTCAAGTAAAATATTCATTTTAATCAATCTAATGAGTTTTAAAAATATATGCTGTACTATCATTATAAACTCCGTTATTAAGCATAATTTAAAGCTGAAGAGAAATAATTTGCACATTTATAATTGTGCATTTATTTATGTAGACAGAGTCTTCTTGTGTAGCTCAGGCTGGCTTAAGCTTGTGTTCCTTCTGCCTCAGTCTCCTGAGTGCTAAGATTACAGGTTATACCACCACACTCAGTTCATGATTATATATTTCCATCTTTCCTACTGTGCACTTTGACTTCTCACTTGATATAATTCTTCTGTTGTCATTTTGGCCACTCCTAACAACTCTTCTACAGTCCATTAATTTTTTTAACTTTATTTATTGACTTGTTTATTTGAGACAGGATCTCCTAACCTAGGCTAGCCTGGAACTCTCCTCCTACCTTAGCCTCCTGAGTTCTGGGATTACAAGTTTGTACCTCCAAGCTCAGTTAAAGCAACTCTTATTTCTGTGTTATTGCTGTGTAGAGAACAGAGGGGTTCAATTATAGATAAAGATCTCTTGATTTGAAGTCTGAATAAACTTCATTATTTATTTATTTATTTAGTTAGTTAGTTATTTAGTTAGTTAGTTAGTTAGTTAGTATTGCTTGCATGTAGATAAGTGTACCTGTGTCATGTAGTGCCTGTGGAGGTCAGAAGAAGGCATCAGATCCCTGGGACTAGAGTTAGGGACTGTTGTTAGCTATCATTTGGGTGCTGGGAACCAAACTCAGGTCCTCTGCACCTCTGCAAGAGCAGTCAGTCCTCTTAACTGCTGAGCCATCTCTCCAGCCCCTAATAACACAACTCTTGAAGTATATACATCACTGCTTCAGTCACTCCATTTAGACCCATGTACCATTCTAATTTCAAGTGCCACCATTGCTTTTCTATAGCTGGACATGGAAATCTAGACATCTCTGAGAAACCAAACCAGACATGGTGGCAGAGTTCTGTAATATCAGCACTTGGGATGTAGAGGCAGGAGGATCAGGAGTTCACAGTCATCCTCAGTCTCATAGCTTGGGATACATGAGACCCTGTCTTTAAAAAACAAACAAAAAAAAAACAACAAAAAAAATAGGGGTCTGGAGAGACAGCTCAGTGGTTAAGAGCACTGACTGCTCTTGCAGAGGACCCAGGTCTGGTTCTCAGCACCCATATGGTGACTAACAGCCATCTGTAACTCCAGTTCCAGGGTATCCAACACCCCCTTCTGTCCTCCACAGGCATTGCATGACACAGGTGTACTTATATACATGCAGGCAATACATTCATACACATAAAATAAAAATAATGAAATACTAAAAAATAAATTAACCCCCACACAAAACAAACAAACAAAACCAAAAAAAAAAAAAGGCCAGAAATGGTGGTACATGCCTGTAATCTTAGCCCTTGGGATGCACAGGTACGAGGATCAGGATTTAAGGTCATCCTTGGCTACATAACAAATTTGAGGCCAACCTGGGCTACGTGAAACCCTGTCTCAAAGGAATAAACAAAGGTTTTTAGTTCAGTGTATATTTATCAAGTGTCTATGGCAGGCCAGGCATTTAAAAACTGGGTGTTAGAATAAATCCTCATGAAGACTTAAAGATGAGTCTGTGGGTACAGATAACTTACTACATGATGATCCAATGTTCATGAAGTAGAAATAGGTAAAATAGCACAGAGGAAGTCTTCCTTCTTGGTCAATGTTCCTAATAAACATTACTTTGAATATAATAGCATTGATATGAGCAATGAAATAAGCTGGTTGAAAGATTAGAAAGTCTGTAAACTATTTTTACTAATGTAGTTTCACTAAACTTTAATTGAATATTTAAAGATTTTTTAAAAAAATCTTCAGAAAGAATCATAAAAAGTGAAAAGGGGCTGGCTCAGTGACTAAGAATGCTTACTGAACAAGCATGAAGACATGAGTTCAAATCCCCAGCATCCACATAAGAAGCTGGGCATGGCGACGCATGTGCCTGTACTCTACAGTTGTGGCAGGGAGAGAGGCAGGAGGATTATTGAGACCTACTGGTTGCCAGCCTAGCTGCAGGTTCAGTCTCAAGGAAATAAGGGGGAGAGTGATAGAGTAGACCATTCAACGTCCTGTATTGGCCTCTGCACATACACTGCACACTCACAAAACAAAGGCAGAAGGACTTGAAAGACATAAGTTGCTTTATCATGATGAAAAACAAAATATTTGGCAGTTGTTGAGATTATGATACTTTGTTATTGGAGAATATAGAGTAAATCAAATTGTATAGTTTCCTCATAAAGCAATGTTAGGTTAAGTAGCTAATCAGGGCATTGACTGTAATTTTTGATAGAAATGACTCAAAGCTCCATTAGAAATCAACAATGTGAGAGGGTTTATTCCTCTTCTTAGGAATAATTTAAAATATTTGCATGTTTGTTGATCAGTTATCTGCTGGGCACCTGCTATTTGCTTTATTACGTAGTCCTCATAGACTCTTCCTCCTTAGCGTCTACAACTTCTTTGACCAGAGTAACGAGCAAAGGGGCCCGTGCTCCCTTAGTTCCCCTGCAATTTAAAACTCACAACTTTGTCACTATGCTCTGAAATCATCAAAACATATCATCATATCCTCTGTGCTATTAAAGGCATTACCTCAAGAAGCTCCTGGTCCTGAGGTTGTTCCTCATCTCTGGTTTCCAGGTGTGTCTATACTCTCTTCATAGTCTCGTCTGTCTTCCTCTCCCACTCTGTGTGCTCTAGAATTTATAATCATTCATTAACAAGAATCCCCTATATTTTAACTTCTCAAAGGTGACAGGTTGAAAGTAGAAGTTCTGATCTTCCTTCCATCATACCCATTCTTCCTGCATACTGCCATTTCTGTTAATGACAGTATCAATAGATCTCAAAGTCAGTTATAATTCAATATATGTCCGGAGCTAGCCACCTCCACAATTTCTACTATGTCCCCTGGAATACTTTACACTAAGATTGCTGTGATGGCTTTCATTTGTCCAGTAGCTTCCACTACTGCCCCCTATATTCTGTTCTCAACACAATAGGTGGAGTGATATTGTTAAAACCCTTGGCTGTCCATCATAAGCAGAGCAAAAACCATAGTCTGTCCAGTGGTCTAAAAGACCCCATACTGTCTGGTACTCAGACTACATTTTCCACCTCATCTCCTACTCCTCTTTGCTCCTTCCCCTGATCTGATCAGACTGTCCTTAAAAATGCCAGGCCCAGCCAGTCATAGTGTCTCATGCCTTTAATCCCAGCACTGTGGATCTTTGTGAGTTCGAGGCCAGCCTGGTCTATACGTCGAGTACCAGGCCAGCTGGGGCTACAGGGAGACCTTGCTTAAAAAAAAAAAAAAAAAAAAAAAAAAAAAAAGCTAGGTTTGCTTCCTTTCAAGACCTTTATACTTGGCTGTTCCTTTCCTCAGATACCTCTGCACCTGGGCTCCTAATCCCTTTCTGTCTATCCATGGTCTATATCAGCAATGCTTGCTGTTGCTTAAAATAACAGCCTCTCATTTGAAACTGTTATCTATCCTCACTCTATCACCTAAATTATTTCCTAATCATGTCTTATTTCTTTATCCTCTGCTGGAAAGTAAGATCCACAGTGGTAGGATTTTTATCTTTGTTGTTCATTGATATATCTCAAAGCCTAGAACAGTGCCTGGAATGTGCTCAATTAGTGTAAATAAATGAGTGGATTGCAGGTCATACTATTGCCTCATTTTATGCATGAAAGATCTGAGACTGAATAATTTCCCCAGGTTTATACAGCAGTAAGAGACAGAATTATGATTTCCATTGAAGTCTGTATATTTCTAGAGTCCTTTAAACTAATTAGGCGATATAACTTATAGAGGAAGATCTGCTCAGGATAATGTGTAATATTTATTTCTTTGCATTTGGAAGTAGGTTGATCACAATTATAAAATTTTCAATTTTTGCACAATCCAGCTAAACTTACATTACTAATTTGTCACTGCCTACATTCCTAATACAAGCACGGCTTTAAAGAGGAGCCATTCAAGGGTGCCAGCAATGTGGCTCAGTGGATATGGGTGATTGCACCAAACTTGACAATATGAGTTTGGTTCCTGGTACCCACATTTTGTGATTCCCACAAGTTGGCTCCTGACCTCCACATGCATGTTATGGCACATGCATGTGTGCACACACATATAAATAAATAAGTGGTATTTAAAAAGTCAAATAAAGGGAGACCTATTCAAGTATCCATAGAAATAATTTTCATTAAAATCTGATGTATACATTAGTAGCAAATGTGTGTCTGGGAACAGCAAATTTTCAGTGAGTCAGTGGGTCACCATATTGATTATATCTCCTTTAAATATAGTTACTAAAGCTCAAGCAGTTGTTTATTGCACGTGTTCAGTTTATACAGAAGAAAATGAAGCTGTTGTTAAGAAAGCATTGGAATGTCAAAACCAAGGGATTAAAATACAACCTTACAGGTAAGGAAAGGGTTCCACCAACAGCTATCAATCAAAGAGTTTTGAAAATGACAAATGTGATTTTCTGAACTATATACATGTACCATTCTTTTTATTTTAGAATTTAACCAGATGTAACCAGATATCCTAACTTACAGCTTTAAAGTGGATTCTGTAGCATTTTTGCATGAACATTTCTTTCTTTTTTTTTAAAGTTTTAAAATTACATTTATTGTGTGTGCATGCATGTACATACATGTGCATGTGTTGGATGTGCAGAGGTCAGAGGACAACTTGTAGGAGTCAGTTCTCTCTCCACCATGTTGGTTCTAGGGATCAAACTCAGGTCGTCTGGCTTAGCAGCCAGCGCTTTTACCCACTGAGCCATCTCACTGGCCTATGAACATGTTCTTGTACATAAAAAAGATTCTTTTGTTTCTGTTACTGTTAAAGCTAAGGCATTTTGACTTCAACTTGATGGATTTCTGAATAGACTTGTTCCTAATTTAATATCCTTCATATATATATGCCTCCATAAAAGAAAAATGAGTATACAAAATATTTGAAAGAAGACAGAAAATTAGATATGTATTATCTCAAGCCCTTTTAGTCTTTCATAACCAGTGGGATATAGAAAAATGACTTGGATATATACAACTTCCAGATAAAATGTAGCCATAAAGTAGGGATAGAAAGAAAGCATTAATACTATAACTTGAGCTAGGTGTGGTGATTCATGCCTCTAACCTCAGTCCTTGGGAAGCTGAGGCAAGATAATTGCCATAAACTTGAGGCTAGTCTTGGCTATGTAGATTACCCTATCTCAAAAAATCAATACTGCAGGGGTGGGGAGAGAGTTAGTGGTAGAGTACTTGCCTAGTGTACCTGAGGTTCTTGGTTTAATCTACAGTACCATCACCAACACACACACACACACACACACACACACACACACACACACACTAAGTAATTCAAAACAGATGCTACAATCTGAACTGTGGATATCAAGAACTAGCTTTAAGAATAACTGAGCGGAGCCAGGTGTGGTTGTGCACCTTTAAGCCCAGCACTCGGGAGGCAGAGGCAGGAGGATCTCTGAGTTCAAGGCCAGTCTGGTCTACACAGCGAATTCCAGACAGCTGGGTCTACAGGGAGACCCTGTCTCAAAAAATAAAAAAAGAAAAAGAAAAAAAGAAAAGAGAAAAAGAATAGCTGACACTAATAAGTTCTTCAAGACTGTGGCAATGAATTAAACATCTATTTTCACGCTGTGAACCCTTCTTCAGAATCCTAATATACATTGTCTGCTCTGTCCTCCTAGCTTGATATTTTCCTTTTGCCATTTCACAAGTTGGATGTTAATCACACTAGCATTTCCTTTCTTGTGGACTTTCCTTCTTTAGAAGCTTCTATTGATAGCGGACAGTCGCCCTCGTGTCCTGAGTGTATCAATATTGTACTAACTCACCAACTAAATTACCACCAAGTGGCAAAGAGCTGCTACAATGGCAGAGACAACCAAATAAGAGCGATCGCACAGGTTTTATTCTTCATTCATCAGGGGTAATGTGGCAAAAGTGAAGAAATATTTGCTTTCTATTCATGTAAGTCATGATTAGTCTATAATATTATACAAAAGGCACAATTCAGATTTAAAGGCAAAGAGTAATTCACATTCTAAATGGGTCTAAGATTTAAGCTCAAATTAGAAAGCATATATTCAAGATGTTTGTTTATAACTACTTGTTGAGGATGTAGTCAAAAATAATTATGCATTACCTCAGGAGATATAATAGATGCCCAACAAGAATAATTAGATATAACAGATGGCCAATGAGAATAATTGATTTAAAATTATTTATTTATTTAGTGGTATGCGTGCATGTGTGTGGAGGTCAGAGGACAACTTGTAGGAATCAGTTCTCTCCTTCTGCTATGTAGGTTCTAGGGATCAAACTCAGGTCACCAGGCTTGATGGCAGGAAGCCTTACAACTGAGTTATGTTACCAGCCCAATAATCATTTAAAATTTCCTAATGTCATGGAATTTAGAATTGAGTTCAATATCACATGTCATCTAATCCAGTCATGCACCTGCTCCTTATACTTCCTCTTACTATCCTACAGATATTAGTTTACTTTGGACGTGAGCCAGCATGATACTAACTATAGGCCTTGTACATGTTTTACTTATTAAAATCTCTTATGGGGGCTGGAGAGATGGTTCAGTGGATAAAGTACTTGCTATGCAAGTACAAGGACCTGAGTTTGTATGCCTAGTACACATGCAAAAAGCCTCACATGGCGGCACATGCCCATAATCCCAGTGAAGGGGTTGGGCGTGAGGGGTCGGGATAGAGATAGGAGGATCCCAGGGGCTCACTTTTGTGAGTCAGTCTAGCCAACCAATGAGCTCCAGTTTCAGTGAGAGATTGTTTCAGTATTAATAATAATAAATAAGGTAGAGCGCAATAGAGGCTGATGTCAACCTTTGACCTCCATAGATGCACAAATGAGCACACACACCCCTCCCCACAGATGCACACACATGCATACACACATAAATCTAATTTGCTACAGAAGTTGTAACTGAGAGTGAACCTCTTAGATGCAATCATTCTCACTCTTACCTGTCTGATTTATAGTCTTCTATATTTTTCCAACACCAAAGAATGCATTATTTAAATTTTAATTGGCATTGTCAGATTACCCACCAAATAGTCACATTTACAAATGTGTCTCTCTGCAGCTTTATAAATGCTGGAATTTGGGGCTGGAGAGATGGTTCAGTGGTTAAGAGCACTGGCTGCTCTTATAGAGGACCTGGGTTTGATTTCCAGCACCCATATAACAGCTAACAACTGCCTGTAACTCCAGTTCCAAGGGAATCTAATACCCTCTCTGACCTCTGGGCATTGCAGGACATGGGTACACTTACATATATGCATGCAATACACTCATACACACACAATAAAACTAATAAACAAAACAAAAAGAAAAAAACCAACAATAATTGCTGGAATTTTATCAGGTTTTTACATCTCTACCATTCTGAGGAGTGAGAAGATGGGCTTTCCTGTTGATAAAAAATTTAATTATCTGTTAATGAATTTGAACATGCTTCCTGTTTACTGACTGGGTAGGTAGTAAAGAGATGGGTTCCAGAATAGAAGCCTTCAAACTTTTTTTTTAAATACTCCCTAAAATTTTTTGAATGACCATGGGTCTTGTTCTATACTGAAGTTGATGTCTAACATTATTTTATTATTTTATTTTATGTGTATGCATGTATTATCGGTGTGTAGGTAAGTGCACCCGTGTCGTGCAATGCCTGCGGAGGTCAGAAGGAGCTGATGGATCCCCTGGGATTGGAGTTACTGACAGTTGTTAGCTGCCATGTGGGTGCTGGGATTCGAACCCGGGTCTTCTGCAAGAACAACCAGTGTTCTTAACCACTGAGCCATCTCTTCAGCTCCTTTATTTTTATTTTATGTGTATGAGTGCATTGCCTGCATGTATGTAAGTGTACCCATGTTATACAATGCCTGTGGAGATCAGCAGAGGACATGGGATCTCTGGAATTGGAGTTATGGATGGTTGTTAGCCACCATGTGGGTGCTGGGATTTGAATCCAGGTCCTCTGCAAGAGCAGCTAGTACTCTTAACTGCTGAGATATTTCTCCAGCCCCACGGTGTATACTCTTTAAGCACCATGATGTATAATTAAAAGAATAGTTAATAAAATTGCCTTGATCTGACTTTTTCCTAGTTCCCTGTCTAGAACTTGTAATGCTAATTACTCTTGCCTTTACTTCTCCTTCACATCTCCTATTCATGATTCAAGGACTTTCTTTTCCCCCTAGAGATGAGTTATGCAATTTGGGAGACTTTTAGGTAGACCCACTGAAGGGGTACTCCAATTGCCTCACCCTGGGTCACTGTTGAGCATGGAAGAAGCCAGAGTGGTCAGTGGCCTGCATCCTGATTCCCTATTGGCAATTTGGGTAACACCTTCAGAGGATGGTGTGATAAGAATAGGAGGTAGGAATTGGCTAGGCAGTTAGGGAAAAAGACCCCAAAGAAGAGTAGCCAGTTTCTTGGCTCAAACTCACAATGTCCTTGGGCCTCTTAGCAATATACTCCGTTCCAAAGTCCAAAAATGTCAAAAGTATTTAGGAGCTTTTATCTAATCCTTAAAAGACTTAGGGTTACCTCTTCAGAGGGGGGGAATGTTAGAGTAGCCAAAAGCCCCCCCCCCAAAATAAATAAATCAAAGAAGAAAGAGTTCATGAAGTTATCAGAAAAAAGTGATGGTGAGATATGGGAGGATTTGGAGGGGAGGGAGTGGGCATGGATTTGATCAAAACACCTTATATGCATGTATGAAATTCTCAATTATTTATTTTTAAAAAATGATAAAATGATAAACATACAAATAAAAAAGAAAAAAAGAACAGTTAATAATTCTAATAAAAATATGCCTAACATTTTCATCATAAGTTTAAATAGTTGTAAAATATATTATTTCCAGAATATTTATTATTTCTAAAATATTATGTTTTATTATGGAAATTTTATTGTAAGTTATAGAATTTCCCAGGTCACAGTTCATCAGGGAGCCCCAGGTAGGCACTCAGGGCAGGAACCTGAAGGCAGGAGCTGAGGCACAGGCCATGGAGGAATGCTGCTTACTGCCTTTCTTCCTGGCCCCTGCTCAACTTGCTTTCTTATACAGCCCAGGCCCACCTGCCCACGGGTGGCACCACCCACAGTAGGCTGGGCCCTTTCACATCAATCAATAATCAAGAAGATGCCCCACAGACATGGCCACAGGCCAGTCCAATGGAGGCAATTCCCCAAGTGAGGCTCCCTCAACCCAGGTGTGTCAAGTTGACATTAAAGCTATCCAGCACAAGAGGGAAGAATGGATCAAGAACAGAGCTTTGCAGAATCTGACATTCTCAAAAATTTTTATCTTGGGGGGCTAGAGAGATGGTTCAGTACTTAAGAGCACTTGCTGCTCTTGCAGAGGACCTAGATTTGGTTCCCAACACCCACTGTCTGTAATTCGAGGCACTCCAGGAGATCTGATGCCCTCTTCTGGCCTTCACAGACATTGCATGCATTTGGTGCACTTAACATGCATGCAGGCAAAATACTCATACACATAAAATAAAGGTACTGTGGTCTCCTACCCTGAAACTGGAGCTCCGGTCCCCTCCTGAGATCCTGGAATTATGGTCCCTTCCCATGAACCTGTAGCTGTGGTCCCTTCCTGTGAACCAGAATGGTGGTCCACTCCTGTGAGCTGGAGCTGTGGTTTCCAACTGTGGAGACACAGTTCCACATTACTCTGGTGTATATATATAGTTACTTTTATCACTCACCTCAGTAGGTCTTTGCTGGGACTGAATAGATTCAACATCTGAACAGTACTTGGCCCATAATAAATACTCAATAATTTGTAATAATCATGCTTGTTATTAATTTGTAAATTGCATGTTCATACACTCAGGTATTTTTCAACTTGATAATATCTTCATTAAATATTTTATTATATATTAAGGGCATAAGCTGTTTTCTTATAAATCAAAAATATTTCAGATTATTGCTTCTTTTTTTTTGCCTTTGCATAAAACTTGAGTTTATTCATGATTCACCCTTCAAATTACCTCACTTAAAACTAATAGATTGTAAAGTCTATTTTTTTTTTGCTTTGAAGAATCATTATTTTTGTTTAATTTTTAATAACTACATGATTAGAAGAAACATTTCACTACAGCTTTAACATATTCAGTAACACACTCCAGAGTAAGAGTACATCTCTTTCACAAGTGGCTGCAAGTTTCTAGGTTCACAGTTGAATTAATATAGTTAGTTATACAACATTGAACTCAGTATAAGCCCTGTAAGACATTAAATTGAATGAGTTTTTAACCTTTAAAAAAGATCTCCATTTCATTTTAGAATATATTGTTCCTTGCAGAAAGACTCATTGTTTTTGCTACTAACACTGAGATGTTGGCGCATGCATCTCTAATCTGTGTGTATCTGGTTATCACTAGTCATAATCATTTGCACTCGGATCCTTGGCGCCTGTGTATGTCTATAAAGTCGTCGGGTAGATTTCAATGGTATTGTTTATCACCTCTACTAATTAGCATGACGTAAATACTAAAGTCTATTTAAATGATAGTGATAATGTAAAAAACAGGCACAGCATGAAAACAAAGTCTCTTCCTGATCCTAGAGAAACATCTTACTACAAAGTTACCATTTTAAACATCTTTAGTGTCAATTGTGGGTGAACCAGGAGGGCCTTTCTGTTTGGTTCAACAATCCTCTTGTCTGGACCCTGTTCTGATAGTGACTCTTAGGTGTACAGTACCACGGTCTCTACGGAAGGAGTTTTAAATGGGCCCCTTAATTCCTTTATCTGTGGTCTGATTTCTCTTGTCTCCTTGCGTACTTTCTCATAGCAATAGTCACAAAGGACAGTTTTCTGCTTCAGGTGACCACATTCAGGACAGATGTCTATATTCTTAATTTTAATAAGCTTCCGAGGATTTCTTCTACACCAGTTAACTTCGATGCTACTAGTCTGTTTTGGGGAGCTGCCATCCAAAAGATACAATCCACGAGGCTGGTATTCTCTGCATTTCCACTGGTATCATTTGCTAGCTCTGTGAGTATGGATGGACCCCAGACTGCTAATGCTGGAGCCCACGGAGGACTGGTAAAGCCTGACTAGCTCTGCTGAAGTTGCAGCTGCAGCAGCTCCCAGCACTTCCGGAGCCGTCCAGGCGGCCAGGCCACCGAAATGCCAGCAGCGGCAGCTCCGGCGCCATGCTCCCTGCAGACCGCTTATTTTTTCTTTGTATTTTTAAAGTTTATATTTACTCTCCCTTCCTTCCCGCTGCCCCTGCTTTTCATCCCTCCTTCCGTTCTTTCTTCCCAGTACTGGGGATTGAACCTAGAGCTTCATGCTTACAACCCTATCACTACCTCCCATATAATTTTATTTTTTAAAATATTTTTAATAAAAACTTGTAAATTTTCTTTTACAGAAACCCATTCACGTTCTGGAGGTCTGAAGTCCTAAAGCAAAGTGTTGGCAGGGTTAGTTTCTTGTGGAGCCTGTGATGGTCCATGCTTTTGGTAGTTGCTAGCAATTTTTTTTTTTTTCAAATATGTCATTTTTTTGTTGCTGTTGATTTTTTTTGTGTGTATATCATACAGAACATCCCAATGTTATTCATCTATATACCCACTTCCCAAATGGCACCCTCCCATAGCCTCCCCACCTCCCCACTACAGCCCATACACTCTGTCATCCCTGTTACTGTCCACTGTGTTGTCCGTGCCCCCAGCTGTTCCCCAGTGCTTGTCCATCCGCTGAATCTAGTCAGCCTATCTAGAGATCCTCGTTTTAGGAAGATCAGCTATTCCTCATCTAGCAGCAGTCAGTTGTCAATATTCTTTCAGATAAGATTGGGGTGTGCTGTTCATTTCCCACTTCTATGCTGGGTTACTGTCTGGGAGTCTCTTGGGCCACCCTGGCAATTTACGGCATTCTTTATCTCTATACTTGACCACCCCAGTCTCTGCTTCCATCTTCAAATGGCCTTCTTCCCCTGTGTGTTCTCTGTACCCTTCTTTTTTCATAGGAACTCCAGTATTGGATTTAGGGTTCACTATACTCCAGGGTTATTAATCTTAGCTAATGAAATATGAAAGATCTATTCCCCAATAAGATCTTATCTTGAGGTTTTGAGTGGACTTGAATCTTATGGGAAACTGTTCATCACACAATAGTCCATTTTGAGGCCTCCCAAAATTGACATCTCTCATTTGCAGAATATACTCACTCTGCTTCAACATCTTCAAAAGTCTCCATCAATTTCAACATAATTATAAATACAAATTCTTATTTAGTATCATCAACTCAAAATCTCAGATATCACCATCTAGATCAGTGGTGAGACTGTGGGTATGGTCACACTTTATTATTCAAAGAAATAGGCTATAAGCTGGGGTTTAGAAACCGTTCTATAGGGACAATTTCCGGATGGCAACTTGGCCAATCTTAATTATAGATTGCTATTACCATTAGAATGCATAAATGTAGCTAAATACAATAGTTTTTTTGAACAAATATTTTTTTAAAAAATATTTTATTATTTTTATGTTATGTGTATGTGTGTATTGCCTGCATGGGTAGGTGCGCCCATGTGGTGCAATGCCCAGGGAGGACCGAAGAGGCTGTTGGATCCCCTGGCACTGGAGTTACAGACAGTTGTTAGCTACCATGTGGGTGCCGAAATTCGAACCCAGGTCTTCTGCAAGAACAGCCAGTGCTCTTAACAACTGAGCCATCTCTCCAGACCCACAAATATTTATTGGATACCTAGTATGTGTCAGATACTACTAGGTACCAGCAATCTATCAATGCATTAAAATTAAGAAAAATCTTGTGGGTGTGGTGGTACACGCCTTTAGTCCCAGCACTCGGGAGACAGAGGCAGGCAGACCTTTGTGAGACTGAGACCAGCTTGATCTACATAGTGAGTTCCAGGCCAGCTGGGTCTACGGGGAGACCCTGTCTCAAAAAGATCAAACTATGTAGTTGGGGGAGGGGTGCTGAAGGGATGGCTCCATGGTTAAGAGTACTGGCTGCTCTTGCAGAGGACCCAGGTTTGATTCCCAGAACCCACATGGCAGCAAACAACTGGCTGTTAACTCCAGTTCCAGGGGATCTGACACCCTCTTGTGACTTGTGCAGTCAAAATTTAAGCATGGGTGACTACAAGTTTTTCTATTTGTGATATTGTCTTTGTTATATAATTGTTATTTATTTACTCTTGTGTGTGTGCACGCGCATACAAACCACAGCATTCATGTGGACAACTGTGGGAGTCAGTTCTCTCCTTTTGGTTTCCTCCTTCCACCTACCTTATTGGTCTTGGGGTGGAACTCAGGTTGTCAAGCTTGCACAGTAAGTGCTTTTACCTGTTGAGCCATCTGACCAGTATTCTTGTTTGTTTTTGAGACAGGGTCTTGAGTAGTTTAGGCTGGCCTTGAACTCACTATATAGCTGAAGATAGATGACCCTGAACTTCTGATCCTTCTGCTTCTACCTCCCAAGTGTTGGGATCACAAGTCTGTGCTACTGTGTCTAGTTTATGTGGGCTGGGGATCCAACCAGGGTAGGAACTCCACCAACTATACTATAGATACAGTCCTGGTGTTATACATTTGTTATTAATGTACTTACCTATTTTGATAGTTTGTTAAAAAGGTTGTATTCTTGGCAGTTACTTAGAATCGTTGAAAGTTTAATAAATTATGAGCTAACATGAAATATTGAGCTTTCAGCTTCGAATTTTGGGAAAGACAACTTAAGCATTTTTCTTCTTGTTTGCAAATTTTACTTAAGTGATGGGTAAAACATAGAAGAAAACTTAGCTGAAGACTATTTTCTTCCTTTCTTGGATTAAAAGCCATTCTAACTGTTTACTATTTGTTATTTCTACTGCAGACTCAGTCCTCCTGTTCTTCCACTATGTTCCTTAAAAGAAATCCAGTTGTCTACTGACAAATTTTTCAGGATGGAACCATCTGAAATTACCAATGGTTGTTTTCTTTCTATTTTAACGAGAGAGGTAAGGAGGAAGGACAATTCCAACCCATGACATAACTTTGGAATCAAAAACAACAAAGTCTCTTAAGCGGAACCTACTTCACGATCATTTTGAAATGGTGTTTTTATTTCACAAATAGTTTGAAGGAAGGAAAAAGAAGTATTGTGTGGTAAATGATCTGTTCCTTATGTTTCTCAGTGTTCCTCTGTGGCCCGCCACTCCCACCAAGCAGTTTGTCAACATCTAGTGCATATTCCAACATATAAGAAATTAGCTGTGTAATTCTTATCAGCTGTGTAAGCAGGGAAGTTGAATTTAAAAAGAGTCATTTATTGTGGCTTATGAGATATGTTAAGGACTATGGCATAAAAAGCCATTTACTTCAGTATATTTGTATTTTCACCAAAACACTGACAAATGTTTAAAAGATATACAATGGGAACCTCCCACATTAATAATTGCTTTCATTGTAGCGAGACCCATCTGAGACGGTGTCTGTGAAAGATGTTTTGGCCCGAGCAGCAGCAAAGGGTCTACTGGATGGGATTGAGGTGGGGAAATCAGCAAAACGGGAGAAGAGGAGGAAGAAATCAAAAACATCACTGCCAAAACCTTCTGGCAATGATAGCAACAGCATCCAAATGAAAATCACTGAGTTCCTGACTCGAGAAAGAAAAACCAGTGCTAATCAATCTGAGACAGCTGAAACACCTCTCCCACAGAGAAGTATGCCTCAAGGAGGTGTTTCCTCACAGATAAGAAAACCTAGCAAGTCTACCACCAATCCTTTAGTGCCCACATTGATAAAGAATGCTTGTCCCCCCAGACCATGTGAAAGGCAAACAAATTTGGGAAGAACTCGGCCAGAAGGCAGAGTGATTCCCCTGAAACATGTGGAAATTGTTTTGCCTCCAGTGATGTTCCCCTTCTCAAGTACCCAAGGGACCAGATTTCAGATACCAACTAACCATTTTTGCTATCGTTTTGCTGGATCTACTGGTACACCTGGCTGCCTTATGACATCATCAACATCCAGAAGAGGAGAGAAGCCCAAGGAAAACTTGCCCTCCTCCCTTCTCAGGCATCCTCGACCCTGGCTTTGACTGCAGCCCTTATTACAGGGGCTGCTGGTATTTCTTGGAAGGTTTGACATTGCTACACAGGATACTTGTGCTTTCGGTCACTTAGTATCTCCTAATGGGATACCACCTCAAGAGAATGAAGACAGGTGAGAAACAATAATGGAGGGGACTGAGTGAGCAGAGTTAAGATTTCAACAGCCCTAACAGTGCTAACTAATCTGCTTTAGGATGCCCAGTTGCAGCCTCTGAGTTAGCTGTTAAAACTTGTCTCATTCTTGGGAGTTTTCAGTGTGGACTAAGCTCAGTTGTCTTGCCTAAAGGGAACACAGTCTACCTTTCAGCTGGCTGCTTTGCAGATGCACCGCAAAGGGCTTGTTAGAAAGTCCTGAGATGAAATGGACACCATCCTCTCCTGCCTGCTCCAGCTCTAGTCAGGGACCTGAGACCCCTCCTCTAGGAGCCATGCAGTTACTGTAGTTGAACCTTTTCAATCACAATTGAGGCTAGTTTTTTCCTCAAGTATCAATCACACTGTTCCTGAAATAGAGCATGCCATGAATTTTTGTAATAGACTGAGCTTGAGTATGAGGAGAAATCACAGGAAATTCTGGAGTTCCAGGTGGGCATAGTTCAGATGTCCATTCAGAGAGAAAAGTGTTTCAGAGAGAAAAGTGGTTCCAGAATGCTGTGTTGATGGAACACCACCATTCTTCCCTTCGTCTATGCTAAACACTGTTGCAACAAAACAAAATGACCATGAGCAAATTTCTACCTAAATCATCTTAATTCTAAGAGGCACACCTGTTGAGTAGTGTGACGTATCACTGAAGAAACTCATTACGATTTCTGATTCTATTCAAAGGTCAGGTGATCCACAGTAAAATGTACACGTCATTTCAATGGCACATAGTAATCAATCCTTGGTAATTACTCTCTGATACAGAATTAAAATATATTGTAGCACTATGTTAATAATATTAAATGTCAATTCCTTTTGAATGTATTACCAATTGTCTACTGATCCTCACATGATCATAGTTTCTGGGTCTACTGAAATTTTTCATCATGGCAACAGAAATTAACATTAAAGTTATGAGTACAAATCTTATTTTTAAAAAGTTTGGACGTATTTGGAATTTGAATTTAAAGTTTTCAGATTTAAGTTGTGATTAGTGTAAGTTGTAACAATGTGTGATTCAGGTGACATGACTTTAGCGGAATATTTAGGTCAGTTTTAGCTCTAGTAGTCTATTGTCTATTCTTTACTTCCTAACTTGAAGTGGGAGGAAAACTAGAATGTTGGCTTCATCTTCATAGCACCAAATTATTTTTCTTTCAGTTAAAGATGTGTATTTTCCATTAAAACCTGGAAGGGAAAGGAATGACTTTTATATCTGAAAGAGGCCTACATTTTGTATTTCCAAAGACTTCTCATTAGTTATGACTTTTTAAAAAAATTTTATTATTTTTATAATAATATGTAACGTATGTGAGTGCACCCATGTCATGCAATGCCACGGAGGTCAGAAGAGGGCTTCGGATTCCCCTGGAACTGGAGTTAAGGACGGTTTGTAGCCGCCACGTGGGTGCTGGGACCGAGCCATCTCTCCAGCCCCCAGTTATGATTCTTAAAAAGCACAGAACTTCAGAAATAGAGGCAGGACTGCAAGTTTGAGGTCGGCGTGAGCTTCACAGTAAGGTCCTGTCTGAAAAATGAAGGGCTGGGATGTAGCTCAGCGGTGGAATCCTTGATTACATATACCAGGCACTAGTTTCCACCCCCAGCCCTGCCAACAAAACCGAACCCCACACATTATTTCGGATGCTTACCTTATTTCACTAAGATAAAAACCTGAGTAACTCTTTGCTCTACATTGTTTCACAGTGCAGCTTAACGGTCTTCAGAGAAGAGCTGCAATTTTATCCCAGGAATCTTGCCCTTTTCCTGATTTTATCTTTAAATCCACGTTGAAAACCATTCTACTGTCTAAAAGTAGTACGTCTGAGATTTTTTATTTTTTGAGTGTATTTCCTGGGTTAGCTCTTAATTGCTAGTTAGGGATATCCTCTACTCTCCAGCAGCATGTGATTCATGTTACCACCTGTAGCCCTTATTTTCAGTGTCTCCTCACACACACCTTGACACTAAATTAGTTTTCTCTTTATAAGTTTATGGAGATTCTGAATTAAGCTATTCATTAATTAAGCTTGTATTTTCTTATTTGAGGCTTTTGTAAGGAAGGCAAGACCAATTATTTTGGTAGAGCAAGAAGGGGAAAATAGGATAAAAGTAAAGAAATTCTAGTGATCACACTGATCTCTGATATCTTCTATTTGGCATTTTATTTTCTTGACCTTCTTAAAGAGTTGCAAAAATCAGAAAGAATCTAGCTACTAGAATTTAGATACTCTAATAACAGATCAGATTCAGATTTTTACCTGAAACTATTTACCACTATAAAACCCCTGAAAATAAGATGAAATTTTGTCCATTAAAGAGTTACTGCCTTTAATAGCATAAGAGAAGGTAGAAAGCAGTGGCAGACCTGTAATCTCAGCTCAGGAGGCCGAGGCAGAAGGGTCACCACGAGTTCAAGGCCAAATTGGTTTATACAGTGAGACCCTATCTCAAAAACAAAGCAAAATAATAAATATACAAAACTTGGGCACATTCTTTCAATTATTTGTCTTCCATATGCCAGACAGTTAAACCAGATCCAACTGACTTTTCTAATTATCACCTTTCATTTTGGGCAGAATGACTTCCCATCTCCATACCTTATTTCTAAAGGAACTGAAAGTTAGATTTTTGTGTAAAAACCACTTAATCCTAGGAAGATTGCTTACAAAAGACGCCAGTTGATGACTAAATGGGCATCTGTGTCCAGAATGTCAAATGTCTTTCCTGACCAGCAAATAAGGGCAGGGGGATGACTCAATTTTAAAGTATTAGTTTTAGTTCTTACCAAGTGGAAAGATGCAAACACTAATCAAAGCAGAATCTCACATTACTGAAATGATTTTTTAAAAGTTTAATTTGAGGTAAAAATAATACAAAAATAAAATGACTACTGTAGAGACACTAA